ACTCTTCATCGCTATTGGCTGCTGCCTCCCGCGACCTTGGAAACCTTCAAGGCGTCCCACCCCCTCACCCTCCCTACCCTGCACAAAAACGCGGCGACACAATGTCTCCCGCAGTGGTTTTCCAGCTCGGAAACCATGTGAAAACAGGAAATCTCGGTTTTCCAGGCCACAAAATCCGGGTTGTGGGGTCCCGGAAAACCATTCTTGGAAAAAAAAAAACGTCCTTCCAAGGACTCCGCGGGAGGCCTGTGGGGTTTCGGAAATGTTCTGCGGCGAAGTTTCTTTTTTCCGGAAACGTGTGGGGTCCAAGCCTGAGTCATCGCTGCACTAACTGTGGAAAAATGCTCTTGGTCCGACGCTTCAAGAGGTGTTAGAAACGGCCCATCGGACGAGCTCTTGAAGCATCCACTGTTCCTGTCTGCAGGGGCGTTGTTTTCAAACGAGACCGACCCGACCCTTTGTGCGGTTTGCAAATTCGAGAGTTGGCCTGTCCTGTAGCCCTGTCGTGTAGCGTCTTTTCAGTTTCTGGAACTTCTGTCCGTCGGGAGTCCATAGTAAGTGCAGTGAGGACAGCACTCGATGCCAATCCAGGAGTCTGACAGCTCTAGATGCACTCTTGAAAGTTTTCATGTTTCTAGCATAGTGCAGCGAGGCCCACTGTGTCCTTTCTGTTTGGTGACGTATACGGGTGTGCTGTGTGACCGGGAAGTACCATATAATCGCAAATTGGCTCACATATAATTTACTATTGTACGTGCTAGTGTGAGTATGCCCTCAGGTCCGTATTTCAACAGTTCAGGGGCGTACCAACTGAGCTACAGTAGCCCATTTTGTTTTTTTTTCAATCAGTAGCCCAGTTTGTTTTTTTTCAATCAGTAGCCCAGTTGGTCTATACGTGCTTTTGGCAGGAAGGCCAGCCAACCTTTAGGGGGGGCAAGGTAGGCTTGCCTATCTCGCGGGGCAAGCACGTGCACGCGCGTCGTGTGCCCGTGAGGGCAGTGTTGTAAGGACTGTTGGATGGAGGCCAGCAGTGCAGGGGGAGGCAAAACCTTGTCGTCCCTCCGCCCGCCCCCATGATCAGGGGGCCGTCTTGAGAGGCCCTTGCGATTCGGAACAGATCGCCTGTGCGCGCGCGCGTCCGAACGCCTTTTATTCCCGACGTCGCTGCGCCACCTTTCGACATTCGGGCCGTCTCTCTCTCTCTCTCTCTCTCTCTTTCTTTCTCTGTGTGTCGCTATCCTTCCCCTTTTTCGAGAAGAGATCGGTGGAGATCGGACGGTTCAGAGGAAAGTCCACCGCATTTTTCCGGCATTATATAGACATATATATATCTATACACACACACACACACACACAGAGAGAGAGAGAGAGAGAGAGAGAGAGAGAGAGCCACCGGGCAATGGCTGTAGGGATGGCGCCGAGCAATCCATCCTTATGGTGTTCTTCTTTGGAAGATCGGCTTCCCAATTGCATTTCGCAGCACCAGCAGCAGCAGCAGCAGCACCAGCAGCAGCACGAGCGCAGCAAAGTCTGGATCCCGCCTGCTGCGTCGGGCGAAGTACTTGCGGCATCCGCGACAGGGTCGCCCAGCGTGGCGCTTCGATCATCGCCGCCAGGACGGAGCTATGTGCTCCGCTTGGTAGCGTCGAAGCGCCTGTGCTCGGTCTGCAGGGGACGGCCGAGAGGAGGAGGAGGAGGAGGAGGAGGAGGAGAGACGTGTGGCGAGTTGCAGCACGCCGCCGCTAATGGCGACTACAGCAGCCATGGCCACGTGAAACGTAGTCGCCGTCCTCCTCACAATCATCCTCATCATCATCATCATCATCATCATTATTATTATCCTACTCCTCATCATCTAAAGAAGAGAGGCTCCGCGAGGACGTTACAGGTGTGGGCGCTGGATGCCGCCCAGCCGTTCGATTACGAATCTATGTTGCAAGCCAAGTTAGATCGGGAAGGCAAGATGAAAATAGGGATTCTGGGTTTCGGAAATTTTGGTCAATTTATAGCCAAACGGATTATTCAACAGAACCATGAGGTCCTTGCTTTCTCGCGGAGCGATTATACTGCAACTGCCAAAGAATTGGGGGTAACCTATTTCAGGTAGCTTTGCTATTCTTTTGCCTCTCCTCTCCCTTCACCTCGCCCTTTCTTTTTTTTTTTTTTTTTTTTATTTTGTTCATATGGTCCGATGGACCACGGATCAGATATGAAACTGATCAGAACAGATACTACACTAGATCTTAGTCAGAAGGCCGAGAAAGGTATACCTCCCATTTCCCCTCCCCTCTCCTTCCCGCTTCCCTCTCTCTCTCTCTCTCTCTCTCTCTCTCTCTCTCTCTCTCTCTCTCTCTCTCTCTCTCTCTCTCTCTCTCTCCTTCTCTCTCTCTCTCTCGCGCGCGCGCTCTTTCTCTCTGACTCCTGACGGCTACCCTTCTTTTAGTACGTTTATCGTTCTTCATTTTTTAAATCAAGGGATGTGGGCATATTTTTTTCCTGG